CAAGTTCACTTACTCTTTCCTCTGCCAGCTCAAATCTACTGAACCTCTCTAGTAAATTTTTCATGTGTTTCTGTGTGTTTTTTTAACAGACAGAAATTTCTGATTGGTCCTTCTTAACAAAATCTCTGTTCGGTTTTATTTGTTTGTAAAAACAACTCTCAAAAAAAAAAAAAACTCTTGCTTTAAAAAAAAAAAAGATTTATTTTATTTATTTGAAAGACAGAGTTACAGAGAGAGAGAGAGGTCTTCCATCCACTGGTTCACTCCCCAAATGATCACAATGGCTAGAGCTGTGCTGATCCAAAGCCAGGAGCCAGGAGTTTCTTCTGGGTCTCCCACATGGGTCCAGGGGCCCAAGGACTTCAGCCATCTTCTATTGCTTTCCCAGGCAGTAGCAGAAAGCTGGATTGGAAGTGGAGCAGCTGGGTCTTGAACTGGTACCTATATGGGATGCTGGCACTGCAGGCGGAGGCTTTAACCCACTGCACCACAGCACCAGCCCCTTGTGCTTACTTTTAAACTCTACTTTCTGGAGGGTTGCCCTGTATCTACATAGCTTAGTGGTCAGCCAGTAACAGGACAGAAGCTGGCCTCCAGAAACCTTAACCTGTCAGACTGCCCTGTGTTGTTGCATATGTGTATAGCTAGGTGAATGATTTCAGTGTTCAGACTGGCTTGAAGTCTGACTTTTTGCTTTCTACGGAGCCCCTTCTCAACTCTTGCATGTGCATGCAGCCTCAGAGTTAACCAGGGGCATGTGAATAGTTTGGGCCCTCTGGTCTCTGCTGTGTGTTCATGCAGCCTCCCATCAGCCAAAACTCCACTTGCTCTGGTCACTACTGCAGTCCCAGCTAGCAGGCCATGCCGCCTCATAGCTTCTGTTGACATTGCTAGGTGTGGCCATCACCCACCACTCCAAACCAAAGGAGCCCGCCTTCAGCCACAGCTGCCTGCTCGTCCTCATGTTGTTTTGCTCTAGCAGAACCTCCCTAATGAGCTGAGGAAGGAGAAGGGGAACTCTCCCAGGCAGGCATGCTGCAGACTCCCTGTTCCTACTCAACTTGCAGCAGGTTGCCAAACATGAGCATATTTCATACTGAAATGTTGTGTGTCTTCAGTTGGTTTCCAGGGCACCAAATTTGTTGTTGTCTTGATTTTTTTTTTTCCTTCAGCACTAGAGTTGCCTTTTTGAGATTTGCTGGCCTCTTTACTTGATTATAGCCGGAAGTGTTGCCTAACAAACACATCTGAGACTTTTATTATGATCTAGCAACCAAACTGGAGAATTTGGAATGTAGAGAGAAGATAAATGCTTTGATTGGAGAAGGACTGTACTCCTGTCAAAACTGTCCAAATAGGCTCCAGTGCTGTGGCACAGCGGTCTAAGCTGTGCCTCAACACTGACATCCCATATGAGCACTGGTTCAAGTCGTGGCTGCTCCACTTCCAAGCTGGCAGTTTGCTAATGGCCTGGGAAAGCAGCGGAGGGTGGCTCAAGTGCTTGGCCCCCTGCACCTTGCACTTGGATGGAGCTCCTGGCTCCTGGCTTCAGCTTGGCCCTGCCTCTGCTTCTACGGCCATCTGGGGAGTAAGGATGGAAGATCTGTCTCTGTCATTCTCCCTTCTAAATAAATAAATCTTAAAAGAAGAAGAAGAAAAATCATCCAAATCGTCCCTTGCAAATTGGTGACCCAGTTGTTTAAGATGGTTAAGGATGATACACGGAATCAACAAGGGACCAGAGCACATGTTATATTTTCCTCCTGCCCTCTGCTGGCAGTCATGTAGATTTTCTTTCTTTCACTATTATTATTTTATTTGAGAGACAGAGACAGCTCTCTCATCCACTGGTTCACTCCTCAAATGCCTTCAATGGCCAGGAAGCTGTCGCCAGGAGCCAGGACTCAAGGTAGGTCTCCCACGTGGGTCATGGGAACCTGACTTACTGAGCTGAGCCATCACTGCTGCCTCCCAGAGTGTGCATTGGTAGGAAGCTGGAACCAGGGGCTGGAGCCAGGGAGTGGACCCAGTTATCCTAATGTGGGACATGGGTGTCCTAACCAGCATCTTTTTTTTTTTTTAATATTTAGTTATTTCAAAGAGAGATATATATAGAGAGGGAGAGACAGAGAAATTCCATCTTCTAGTTCACCAAATACACACCCTTGTAGATTTTCTATTTTGCCTAAACTACTCAGCATTATTGACATTAAACTTCCTATAGTCTTCTAAGTTTGGACTGCCATTGGTGGCTAGTGGTCACAGTAGTTTAGCCTCTGCTGCATGACGTCTGAGTCTTTAATGAATGTTTGTATAATGACATTAACACTGCAGCTAACCCATTCAGTTTTATTTCTTGCTGAGGCCTTCAGTAATTTCATCTTAACCTCATAAAATGCCTCTTATGCTCCCATGCTGTCATATTGGCTAGAGCGGCGCCAATCCAAAGCCAGGAGCCAGGGGCTTCTTCGGGGTCTCCCACGTGGGTACAGTGGTCCAAGGACTTCAGCCATCTTCTACTGCTTTCTCAGGCAGTAGCAGAAAGCTGCAAAGTCCTCTTTCATGTGTTTCATGAAAAAGGAAAGGTTGGTTGCTGCCTCCAAAACATGGGTCTCTCTAAATGTGTTTTCATCAGATTTGTGGTTTGACAGACTTAGCCTTTTCACTTGCATAAACATCATGAAAAAACACAGGTAACTTCTTTCAGCTGCCCTCCAGGTGAGTATCCTGACTGGGGCTTCTGTGGACTTGGCTTACTATGGAAACAGTTCTCGTTTGGAACAGGGGAAGGCAGCGCCTGACTGACAAATGTACCCTGGGACCTAAAGGCCATTGAATTGAGAACTCATTTGCAGGTAGGTTTCCTGGTGAGTAAGAAAATACCCGTTCTTCTTTCTTATCTGGGATTTCCTAAATGATTTTTGGTACCTATAACATAATCAAGCAATAGGCAACTTAAACTGGTAGATGGGTTGTGGTCAGCTTCGTATTTCACTTCAGAAGCTTCTAGGCTAATGTACACACTGACGGCTTTAGGATGGAGAGGCCCATGGACAGCATCTTAACCAAGGGATGCTCCCCAGAGGGAGGACAGCTGAGTTTGCAGACCACCTGCTGGGCTGCCGTGTACACAACACAGGACTTTTGTGCTATTCCTGCCGAGCATTTGGGATGTGGAGCTGATCAGGAGACACAGACGTCCCAATGGAGGAACACTCTACCGAGTAACTTTCCTGCAGTCCTCAAGTATATTAGGGTCAGAGAGGTCAGCAGAAGACTGAAGAATTGCACTGGATTGAAGAAACTGAGGAGGGGTATTATTCAGACAGGTGGTGAAATTTAGGATCTCGGAGTAAACAGTGTATGGGCATTTTCTGTATTGTTTGTGCAACTTTTCTATATATTTTAAATGATTATTTAAAAAATTACAGTGCCTCTTCCTCCAACACCCTCATTCTGGAGTCTTGTATTTTTTCATATTGCAAATGGGAGATGTTTGGCAATTCAAACTCTACCAATGAAGTAAAGCGAAGGCTCTGCCTTTTCCTCTCCAAATTCTATTTCCCAGAGATCACTGTTAATAATTTGGTTTTCCTCTCCAGATTTTACAAATATCCTTGAAGTTTTTGTTTGTTTTACAAAAGCAGGATGCTCTATGTATTATCTGAACTCACTCTTTTTAATGACCACATCCCATAGTACTCTATTTTATGATTATCATTTATCCATTCCTATACTGATGGCATTAGGTAGTTTTCAATTTTTTACTTTTACTAATTGCTATGCATACCTTTTGTCTGAATGTCTCTACCCATTCATGCTAGTACTTCTGAATAGACTTCTAGACAAGGAATTGTTAGAGATCATGATTTTTGCAAGTTTTCCAGTACTGATAGATTGTGCCAAGTTCCCCACCCTCCCCCCCAATTTAATTACTGCCAGTAACAATGGAGGAGACAGTCTCCATTTATCAAGACTATGTGTTAGGAATCCTTGATTTCCCCCTCTCAGAAAGGCAAGACTGGGGACTGTCGGTGGAGTACGCACCAGTACACCACACATTGGGGGTTCCTATTGAAGGGTGAGGGCTTGGGCTCTGGATCAGTCACTTTCTCCAGCCAGTGACCTCTTGTTTTACATGAGGACTTCACCACCTACACTGCAGGGCTGTAGGGAAAGATGAAATACTCCACTCAGACACTCTGGCAAGCATTAGAATTAGGTGAGAGTGAGCAGCTAATGAAGGTGAATGCTGGCCAATGGCAGCAGAGTAAGAAGCCAGTTGTCCAGGGGGGTCCTAGAAACAGGATGTGGGACAGAAGTTCAGACTGTGCAGAGCTCTTGCCATCTTGTTAGGCCTCCACCCTTGCTCAACCCAAAAAGGAAGCAAAAGACCCTGGACTCCATCTCCTTGCTCCCAGCATTTGTTGCTCAGTGCTCCAGCGGCTTGAGCATTTGTTGTCCACCCTGCATCAAAACCACGGGGAGGGCCTGAGGAAAAGAACTTGACTAGTGGCCCCCAGAAGGCCCTGCCTTGCAGACATGGTCTCATCTTCCAGGTAATCAAAGTCTAATCTGTTGAGGAAACTCAGGCCAAGTAAAGCCAGCAGGAGTGAAATGCCCAGGGCCGCTGGCTCTGTCAGGGTGCAAGTCTGTACAAGTCTGTAACAGTTACCCAGTTATTAGTCTTGTGTTCCGCAGAGAGGCGGTGATATTCCTGCAAGAACAGACTACGTTGTCTATGCTGCTTCTTGAATCCCTTGAAGGCTCCAGCAGAGGGTTGTAGTACTCAGGGAATCCATATTGAAATGGATTAAAAAGACACGGTACCTTTGCTTTATTACTTGTTGCAAAGAAAGGAAGCATGGGAAAGCTCAACAGGCTGCCACTGGGCCCCGTTCCTCTAGGAAATGCTGGGCTGCTCGGTACAGGACTTGGCAGGCCCATGTCCTTGGCCATTTCCTGAAGGCCCATGGAAGGTGAGTGAAGGAGCTGCAGTCTTCAGAAGAGGCAGATTTTAGTTTTATTTCAACTGATTAGAGTAGATAATAGGTACAGGATATATTTCTGCAAAAATCACCACCCCAAACACATCATTTATAAAAGTGAATCTGGGAAGAAAAGTTGGCTCTAACGGAATAGGGCTCACACCCCTCTTTGCTCCTCAGTGACCCTGGGTATGCTCTCGCGGACTCAGGTGCAGGCAAAGCAGGAGACTTGAGTTTGCATGACCTGAACTCAAGTCCTGGCTACAAGTTTTAGTAGCTTGTGGTGGGGAGGTCACTCTGTTTCTCAGCTGAGCTCCCTCTCTGGTCAGTCAGGTGCTGCCTCCCGGAGGCACAGAGGCCCATCTGTTGGCATACTGAATGAGCTGGTATGACTTTGGAAAACTCTTGTGCTGCAGCAGAATAATGTGGTAGGGGCTAGAGGGTGGGAAGAAATAGAAAAGCTATGAGAGCAGCATCAAAGACAGGAAGGGCGGGAAGCAGGAAAGAACAGGGTAGGGTAGAGAGGCGGAACCAACAACAGCACAAGAGTCCTGGGCACTGCTTCTGGACAGGGGTCAGGGCTTAGACGATGACACTGATGGCTGAGCTGACTTGCCCGCAGAACTGCACAGAGAAGAGAGTGATCATTAGCCATGGCCTGGAGCTAGTCTTGGAAAAGGAAATCAACACTCAGCCTGATTATCACGACAGCTACCATCTGTATGATTTTAAAACACATAGGATCACGTTGAAAGCCTCTAACTCCTCATCCCATCTTGGGACAGGAGACAGGCTGCTGCGGGGACCCCCGGCCTCCAATCTCCAGGGTCCTATCTTCACGTTTCCTTAAGCCACAGAAAACTTGAACCAGGTGGTGTGGTTGTATTCCTCGTCGGGCCTCAGCAGCACAGGAGGGAAGTGGGGCTGTGAAGGGGAAAACAACCCAGGTTACATCATTAGTCACTAGGGGTGTGCTTCTGGGGAACCCGGCCAGTGCAGCTTTGCAACGAGGTAAATAACTCGAGCCAGAATGAAAATCTACTGCATCGCTCAGCACACGTGTTGAAGGCAGCAGAGTGTTGTAAAGTGCAAGGTTCTTCTCGTGGGTTGGCACTGACAGCTGGAGATTAAGGTTACACAGCAACAGATAGGAAGGAAAGACATGGAAGATGTGTCCCGGAGCATGGATGCAGCAAATGCACAGGCGTTGATAAGGAGGAACACTAAACGGAGTCGAGGCTTTGCAGGTACAACACTCGAGCTCTTTTGAAACATGGAAGTATCATGTCAGTGACTTGGCTACGGGTTTTCCGTGTTTATCATGACTTGGGGAAGAGAACCAGCATGGGCTTCTGACTCATACAGACTGACTTGAGTGCTGTGGCCTCTGTCATGTAGTGTGACCTTGGACAAAACACCACTCCGACAAGCCAGCCTGTGGCTTTATTTACCTGGTTGACTGCATTAGGCCAGTTCTGGGTCTCCAGGCAGAAACCAGAGTGCTTGGGATAGACCGCTCCGCCCTTGCCCTTCAGCGTGCCATCCAGGAAGTTGGCCGTGTAAAACTGGACCCCAGGCTGAGTGGTGTACACTTCTAGCACCCGCCCACTTCCAGCGTGCTGCACCCTGGGGATAAAGACAAACCACGCATGAGTGCAGGGCAGAAATGCAGGCGGGGAGGGACAGGAGCTGGGAAGCAGCTTTGAGACATGAGTCAGACCTGGCCGCAGAGCAGGGGCAGGATGTATGCAGGACATAAAAGTAGGAGGAGCACAGTGGAAAATTCTCAAAGCTTCGTGGGCCAGGAAGTGCGTTTTTTTTTTTTTTAAAGATGTGTTTATTTATTTGAAAAGCAGAGTTATAAAGTGAATGAGAGAGAAAGAGAGAGAGAGAGCGCGCACTTCTATCTGTTGGGTCACTCCCCAAATGGCCACAACAACCAGGGCTGGGTAAGGCTGAAGCCAGGAGCCTGGGACTCCATCTAAGTCTCCCATTTGGGTGCAGGGACCCAAGTACTTGGTCCATCCTCCTCTGCCTTCTCAGGTGCATCAGCAGGGAGCTGGATTGGAAGAGGAACAGCTGGGACTCACACCAGCTCATACAGGATGCTGGTGTCACAGGTGGCAGCTTAACCCACTGCACCACAACACCAGCCCCCAAAGACAGGTGATGCTGAGGACCCCCACTAGCGCCCCTTGACTTGGAGGGTGGGGAAGTGCAAAACAGACTCAGCCCAGGAAGCTGGGGAAAAGAGGGGTCCAGCAGCGGTGTGGAGAGAGGCAGTCTTAGGGTCCTGGAGGGGCTGAGTTTCTTTTTCATAGATGGTTGGAGCTCTCAGCGTGGCCTGATGGGACAACCACCCATGTCTTATGAGCGAGAAGAGATGTGGTTTAAAACTCCCAACTGCTCCCCTTCCTTGAGCAGCTGTTTGTCCGTTGGCTCTCCCTCAGAGCAGTCCAGCTCTGGGTTCCCACTGGATCCACTGTTTCCTTTGTGTACCACCAGACCTCTCCAGAGGTGTTCCCACCTGGCTGTGCACCCGGTGTCAATGGGATATAGGGGACCGGCGCTGTGACCTAGCGGGTAAAGCCACCGCCTGCAGTGCTGGCATCCCATATGAGCGTTGGTTCAAGTCCCTGCTGTTCCATTTCTGATCCAGCTCTCTGCTATAGCCTGGGAAAGCAGTGGAAGATGGCCCAAGTCCTTGGATCCCTGTACCTGCGTGGGAGACCCTGAGGAAGCTTCTCGCTCCTGGCTTAGGATTGGTGTAGCTTTGGCCATTGTGGCCATCTGGGGAGTGAACCAGCAGATGGAAGACCTCTCTCATTGCCTCTGCCTCTCTGTAACTCTGCCTTTCAAATAAATTAAAAAAAAAAAAAATGAGATATAGATCAAGAAAGGCCTGGACCTGACAGTCTCAGTACTAGTTAACACACCCCTACCCATGTTGTCCACCAAGAGGTTCAGGGAAAAGAGGCGAGGGAAGAGGAGGCCAGGATTTGCTCAAGAGGGAAGAAGTCAGGAGGGCCTTGTGGGGGTCGGGGCAGTGGGGGAGAGAAATGGGAGGGAGCGGCACGGAGGAGAAAGGTGACTGGGCTTAAAGGACACAGCCAGGCCTTGTGCGGGGGCTCTGAGGTGGAGAAGGTTTGGAAGTTCTTTGTCCAGCAGAGTTTCAGTCATCTGCTGTATTTAAAATCCATTCGTCCTTCCAACGTGTGATGATTGCTAGTGTCAAGCATGGGATTAGCTGTCTGGATAGAGCCAAGGGTTCCCAAAGATGAAATGGCACGAGCGAGGAGAGACAGCGCGACACGAGCATCGCGCAGACTGAGGCCGGAGGTGGTGACAGCTGCAGGAGAACCGTGGCCTTCCCGACTTGCCACAGGAGCAGGCAGGACACAAATCACCAACGGAGAAAGGAGGAAGGGCTCTGCAAGTTCAGCGAAGGAAGAGGTGACTTCAGGCAGGGAGAATTAGGGCTTCTACCAGCAATGGGCTTTCAGGGCTCGCAGAGATTAGGAGAGAGGATGTGGAGTAGGGGGCACGGGGATAATGGAAGGGGATAAGGGGCTAATTGGCATGGGAGCTTTGAAAAGACATGGGATGTGGTATTTGGGCCCCGCAGCATAGTGAAGAAGCACAGAGAAGTTCCTTAAGTAGAAGCTGGTGTCTCCTCTTCCCTACCGAGGTAGTAAGTGAAAAGTTCCCCACCTTGCACAAAAATGTTTTTCTTTGGATCCCTTCAGACAGAAATTGTGGTCAAAACCATTGATGTGGAACTGCTGCAGGTGTTTCCCGAGCTCCACCGGCTTCCTCAGGTCGAATGCAGTTCCTTGCACCGGAGCAACTTCTCCTGGTGGCAGAAAGCAGAAAGCGGAGGTGGCGACTGCCCAGACCAGTGAGCACCTGCAGCATCCCAGGGACCTCACCCTCCCCCCTTGGCAAAGGAGACGGGAGCCTGGATTCTAGGAAGGAGAATGAACTCCTGGATTTCTTAATTAGAGTGTGCTGTGGACTGCAAACATGCGGTGGCCATAACATTCAGAGGCCGTCAAGTGTGAAAACGTATAAAAGCAAGGCAGCACACGATTTCCATCAAAGAGTGACGTCGTCCCAATCATTCAGTCAGTCTCCTTCCTGACCTTCCTTGCCTCCGGCTGAATTATCTCAAAGCTCAGAACCAAGCACTAGCACCAGGCACGGCTAAGCCGTCACTAAGAAAGTCCCGAGCAGAGTGATTCTCGTACCATCGGGGGCCCTTGTTAGCCAATGACAACCATGCTGCCCCAAGCAGCTCGCCATCAGCCTGGGGACACACTCCAGACCACAGCGGGAGCTGTTACAAAGAACCCAGGAACAAGTGGCTTAAGTGGCAAACAGGGTTGTATGAGCACTCTGCCTGTGCCCGTGTAGACTCAGTATTCAGGGAAGCGGTGTGTCTCCCGGAGTGATTCCTGGGGGAACTGTAGATGGGCGAGCGCTGCTCCTTCTTGGGAGCAGTCAGATTCGTCAGGCTTGCATGTACTATATTTGTCCTTGTCAAGGTGGCCATCAGGAACCTCTTCACAGTGGTGTGCAGGGGAGGTCAGTCCTGAGGGAGGACACTGCAGTTTGGTGACCTTCAACTCAAAGGGGAACGCATAGGAGGAACCTGGACAGGATTCCATTCTTGGTCATTACACAACCAATATCTAGTTGAGAACATCCCTTCGGGGTCGGTGCTATGGTGTAGTACCGGGTCACGCTTCTGCCTGCAATGCCACCATCCCATATGGGTGCCAGTTCAAGACCAGGCTGCTCCACTTCTGATGCAGCTCCCTGTTAATGCACCTGGGAAAGCAGTGGAAGATGGCTCAAGTCCTTGGGCCCCTATACCCATGTGGGAGACCCAGATGAAGCTCCAGAATCCTGGCTTTGGCCTGTTCCTGTCCTGGCTGTTGTGGCCATTTCGGGAGGGAACCAGTGGATGGATGATATCTGTCTCTTTGTCTGTCTCCCTCTCTCTCTGTAACTCTGCCTTTCAAATAAACAAATAAATCTTTTAAAAAAATCCCTTCGTGATGTAAAGAACTCAAGGATGGGGTCTGGCGATGTGGTACAGTGATCTAAGCTGCTGCCTGAAATGCCAGTATCCAATATTGGAGCACTGGTTCGAGTCCCAGCCGCTCCACTTCTAATCCAGCTCCCTGCTAATGCACCTTGGAAGGCAGCAGAGGATGACCCAAGTCCTTGGGCCCCTGCTGCCCATGTGGGAGTTCCAGATGGAGTTCTGACTGTTGTGACCATTTGAGGAGTGAACCAGCAGATAGAAGATCTCTCTCTCTCCTTCTATCACTCTGCCTTTCAAATACAGAATCTTCAACAAAACAAAAAGAAATGAACAAAATTCAATGATGTCAAGACCGGAAGGGTTCTCAGAGCTTGTCCGGTCCAGATAGCTCCTGTAATAGATGAGGAAGCAGAGGCTCACGTAACTTGCTGTCATTAACCAACAACCTATGATTTTCCTTTACTGTATTTCATCCATCTAAGACACTTTTTAAAAAAGATTTATTTATTTACTTTGAAAGTCAGAATTACAGAGAGAGGGGGAGATTTTCCATCTTCTGGTTCACTCCCCAGATGACCATCCTAGCCAGTGCTGGGCCATGCTGGAGCCAGGAGCCAGGAGCTTCATTCGTCCAGGTCTCCCATGTGGGTGGTGGGAGCCCAGACACTTGGGCCATCTTCTGCTGCTCTTCCCAGCCCATTAGCAGGGAGCCCATATGGGATGCCTGTGTCCCAGGCACTGGCTTTACCTGCTACACTACAACAACGGCCCAAAGACAGTTATTTTCACATTTTAAAATCTCTGGGGGTTGGCACTGTGGTGCAGTGGGTTAACACCCTGGCTTGAAGCGCCAGCATCCCATATTGGTGTCAGTTTGAGACCCAGCTACTCCACTTCCAATCCAGCTCTCTGCTATGGCCTGGGAAAGCAGTAGAAGATGGCCCAAGTCCTTGAGCCCCTGCACCTGTGTGGGAGGCCCGGAAGAAGCTCCTGGTTCCTGGCTTCGGATCAGTGCAGCTCCAGCCGTTGCGGTCAACTGGAGAGTGAACCAACAAATGGAAGACCTCTCTCTCTCTCTCTCTACCTCTCCTCTCTCTGTGTAACTCTGACTTTCAAATAAATAAATAAACCTTAAAAAAAAAATCTCTGGAGCTATCCCATGGTTTAACTGGCATAGCTTTTTCTTTCTTCGTGGTACATACAATAATGGTGAACTTTATAATTGCTGGCATCTTAGAGTTGATAAAATGTGTAAAAATAGCTTGCCATCTTTTCTGTTTTAATAAAAACCAGTTAAAAAAAAAAGTACAGGGCTTTGAGGCAAAAAAGAGGAATGGGGCTGATTGTGTGAGTCCTCTCAACAGGAGGCTCAGGGAAGGGCTGGTCTCGGCAGAGTCCTCCTGCGACATTTGCCAAAAGGCTGGGACGCGGGCTGACCGTCCGCCGGAATGCAGCCACTCTCCTTTCTCACCTTTCATTCTCTTCCTTTCAGTTCTGTTCTTCCCCAGACACGGGACGAGCTATTTCAGAGGACACAAATTTCTTAAATTGAGCTGGTAAGAAAGCCTAGACAATGTGAGAAAGCCTGCAGCGCAAACCAGTGGGTTACTTTTTTTTTTTTTTTTTTTGGAATTTTTAAACGAAAGGCAGAGAGACACAGACAGACAGACAGACAGAGAGCTCCCATCCTCTGGTTAACTCTGCAAATGCTAGCAACAGCCAGGCAGGGCCGGGGCAGGATGAAGCCAGGAAGAACTCAATTTGCGTCTTCCACAGGGATGGCAGGGACTCAAGGACTGCAGCCATCACCTGTTGCCTCCCAGGGCGGGCACCATCAGCAAGTTGGAACCAGGAGCAGAGCCAGGACTGGAAGCCAGCACTCCCAATATGGGGCACGGCCCATCCCAAGTGGCATCCTAACTGCTGTGCCAAATGCCTACAGCAGACCTGTCCTCGAAAGTATGCTAGGGCCAGAGCAGTGAACTTGAGAGCATTCACCGAGTCCTTCTAACATGTATTAAACACTTACTGTATGCCAGGGATTCTGATACCCAGGGAGACTACATGGAGGCTGGAGGAGGAACCAGACAGAGGAGCAGTTCACAGGCACCGAGTGTGGAGGGCACTCCAGCGGGGACAGCCACAGGGAGGAGACCAGCAGTGTGGCCGTGCTGGCTGAGCGGGGAGATGTCATGGATGACACTGTAGTGGTCGAGTGAGGAGCTATCATTTTAGACTGAATTCGTGAGGGAGGCTGAAGGAGATTCCATGTGGAGGTCACAGTTGGAGGACACAGTGATAGGATGTATGTGTGTGCAAGTTGTGTGTGTGTGTGTGTGTGTGTGTGTAGAAAGAAAGGTGGAATGACTACATGAGTAAGGAAGGAGGTAAAAATTAGGTTATGGAGGGGCCAGCGCTGTGGCATAATTAGGTTAAACATTCATCTGTAGCGCCAGCATCCCATATGGGTGCTGGTTCAAGTCCTGGCTGCTCCTCTTCCGATCCAGCTCTCTGCTATGGCCTGGGAAAGCAGTGCAAGATGGCCCAAGTCCTTGGGCCCCTGCACCCATGTAGGAGACCCGGAGGAAGCTCCTGACTCTTGGCTTCGGATCGGTGCAGCTCTGGCTGTTGTGGCCATCTGGGGAGTGAACCAGCAGAAGGAAAACCTCTCTCTCTGTCTCTACCTCTCTCTGTAACTCTGTCTTTCAAATAAATAAAATAATTTTTTTTTTTTAAAGAAAGAATTACAGAGACAGAGGAGGAGGGAGAGAGAGGATGAGATTTTCCATCCACCTGTTCACTCCCCACATAGCTGCAATGATCAGCACTGGGCCAGGCCAAAGCCAGGAGCCAGGAAGTTCATCTGGGTCTCCCACATGGGTTCAGGGGCCCACACACTTGTGCCATCTCCCACTGCTTTCCCAGGCCAAAGCAGAGAGCTGTAGCTGAGACACAAACCGGCTTTACCCACTATTCCACAACAGCTGCCCCTACTTCAGAGTCTTAAACAATGACATAGTTTAGTCCTTTTTCTTTTTCTTTATTTCTTTTTTTTAATTTGAGAGGTAGAGTTACAGAGAGAGAGAGGGAGAGACAGAAAGAGGGGTCTTCCATCCAATAGTTCACCCCCCAAAATGGCCGCAATGGCAGGAGCTGGGCCAATCTGAAGTCAGGAGCCAGGAGCTTCTTCTGGGTCTCCCCTGCAGGTGCAGGGGCCCAAGCACCTGGACCATCTTCTACTGCTTTCCCAGGCCATAGCAGAGAGCTGGATTGGAAGAGGAGCAGCCGGAACACAAACTGGCATTCGTATGGGATTCCGGCTCCACAGGTGGAGGCTTAGCTAACTATGCCACAGTACTGGCCCCACAGTTTAGTTCTTGAAAAAATTTTTTTTATTGTCCCAGAGCTGTATCCTATATTTTCAAGGTAAGTATGAATGCTGGGTAGTTAACATACTCTTTTGAAGTGATAATCACTTTTTCCTTTTATGTAGTCAGATGAAAAGATTTTAGGAACTTGGTTTCTACTATTTTTAGGAGAGCTGTAGCATGCAAAGGAGCTGAAATCACAGGAGGCTAAGAAAAATCAGGAAATGGTACCTTCCCACTACAACGATCAAGCAAAAGGAGAACCGACTGTGGTCATCTGAAGCGCTGGTTCTGCTTTTGTGAGTTCCTAAATGCTGAGAGGGAGAACAGATCTTTGGGGAAAATAGAATAATCCTTTGCTCAAACTCAGAGCTGCTGTTTGGAAGTGTGGTCTTCTTGGCGTATGAGCACTGGGGTCCTTGAGCTCACATGGAG